GACTCCGGAAATCCACCGCGGCAAGAGGCGGAAGCGGAGTCGACGGCGGCGCGGCAACGGTCGACTCGCCGCCGTCCTCACAGCCAGGTAAGTTGACCTAAAATACGCAACTTCAGCTATGCTATTCACGTAGCTGAAGTTGCGTATCTTAGGTCGTCCCCCCCCCCCCCCCCCCCCCCCGTAGTGTAGACCTAGCCCAAGTTAGCCTTAATTGTGTCTTGGCGTGAGTAGGTTTGTACCTAAATCTGCAGAGGAGGTTTCAATGCTTATTATTGATGGGGAGGCTGGAGTATTGCCTTGACATGTTCAAATCACTCTAACTAGTATTGAGTAGAGCTCACTTTCTAATTTGGGATTGAGTCACTACCACAAACATGTTTTAGCCTTAGACCAGGTCTACACTAGAAACTTGTCAGGATAGCAGTGTTGGTAAGGGATATTACTTTTTTTGACACTTCTGAACTGCCCAAAGTCCAAATGTAGATTCAGTTATACACCTCTACCTCTATATAATGCGACCCGATATAACACGAATTCGGATATAACGCAGTAAAGCAGTGCTCCGGGGGGGCAGGGCTGCGCACTCCGGCGGATCAAAGCAAGTTCAATATAACGCAGTTTCACCTATAACGCGGTAAGATTTTTTGGTTCCCGAGGACAGCGTTATATCGAGGTAGAGGTGTACCAACAAAAATGTGCTTTTGCTTGTATAGTTTATTTTGTTCAGGGAACTGATATAAGCTATACCAGCAAAAAAATCTCTTTTGTTGATCTAAGATGTGTCTATGCTAGGAGGGTTTGCTGGTCTAGCTATTGTTTAGTTATGGCTTAGTCTTTCTGGTGCAAAGTGTTAATCCGGGAAGGAAGGTTCTTTTTTTTTAAGTGAGAAATTGTAGGTGTTTATTTTTTGTTTTTGTTTTTTTGCCATCCTACAACAGCTTTGTAGGCATTTTTATGAAGCTGGGTGGTTTTCAATGTGAGATAAAGTAGTTGAGAATTTGTTACTGTTCAGTTTCAAAGACGAAAGATTCATTTCTTATTGTAACCTATCAAAGGTAAAATAACTGGCCATGAAGACTGAGCCCCAGACTTCCTTATTGTAGCCAATTGAGGTACACAAGAATAGGGCAGTACTCTTCAAAAAGGCTGAAATTGCATCTCTTTTTTGAGAGTGCGGAGGCTTTGCAGACATAATATATATGTCTTCCACTTAGGCATTGTTTTTTTGTCATTGAGGAACATGCCAGCATTCTAAACGTTAAAACTGTATTATAACTGGTGTTACTACTATAGAAATATATACTGTTATCTTGTTATTGTTCATTCACAATAAGTAAGCTATGCATTTTATTCATATATGTGTATATATATATATATATATATATAGATAGATAGATATTATTATTATTATTATTTTTTTCCTTTCACAAATATGTCTGACTTGGTTGGATATTAGGGACACAAGGTGGTTGATGTAATATCTTTTATTGGACCAACTTCTGTTGGTGAGCGAGACAAAGCTTTCGAGCCACACAGCACTCTTCTTTAGGTGTGGGAAAAGTATTCCCAGTGTCACAGCACAATGGAAGGTGGATATGTCATTAAGTAAAATGTTTATTTCTACATGTGCCTAGAAGGCTCAAACTTACATTGACCAAGAGTAAGGTCACTTTGAGTTTTACTGGTTTCAAATGGTATGAATCTGCTGAAGTCATTTTATGCCCTTGGATGTGAATGTGTGGTTCTGGTCAACTTCAGACTTTGTCCTTAAGCATGGGCCTTTTCTTTTCATCTGAAGTATTCCTATATGTATGTGAATTATATATATTTAGTAAACAGCTGTCATTCTGTTTTTCATATTGTCTTACACAATGGATTTTAAGCTGACTAATAAAGATTGCATTTCCTTGAATGATGTAGAAGAGCAGAGTCTGGATTTGCACATCTGATATCACACCCTTTTTTTGCTCACTTTTTCAGATACCCTACATGCTCTGTGGCTTCCTAACAGGAAGATGGGATTTCATCATTTTATTTATTTATGGGTATCTCTATATAATTGCACACACAACATTTTGTATTTATTATTACTGAATGAATAGGAAGCAACTTCATGGTATTATACTGATATTAGAAATTAAACACTGTATTCAAATTTTAAGTGAAAGTAGGGAAAACAAATTCTCAAAATACCCTAATAAAATATGAGGTCAACCTGTTGCAAATTAAATGGTTTAAGAAAATAGTTTTAAAAAAATCCTCTTAACCTTTCTCCCTTATTTTTCTTCTACTCTTCCTCTTATAGAAATCTCTCTCTCCACTCCAGTCAGCAGGGCTCTTCTCCCCAGGATAACAGCAATATACTTTTGCATACATTGTTTTCAAAGGTGAATTTGGAGCAAGAGGCTGTACTTATTCCCAGGACATACAATGTAATAACAAATATGGCAGCTATTCTGGTGGGGGAAAAAACTTGATGGCCTGGAAGGGGAGGGCAAAGTTGAGAAGTGGACAAACAAAAACTCCACTTCACCCCGACTTCCCTACCCTAATTCCCTTTTTACTGGTTGATACAATGTTTTCTTTGCTGTTTTGATATGTTGGGGTGGGGTGGGGGGGGGGGGGGGGGGGGGGGGGAAGGGGGTTGCCTTGCATGTAAATCTTAGTGTTCTATTTCCTTAAGCTGAAATAAGAAAAGCTGAAGCAGCCTTCTCTGTTGATGCCAAACAGCTCCAAAATTCGGAGTATTGTATAGGAGCCAATCAGAGAAAAGACCTTTGCCTATTCCCAAATTAGAGAATGAAACAACCAAACTGCAATTATGTAAATCTCTGCATGCTGGGTTGCTGCTAATAACTGTGAGCCTCCCCAGTCACCAAGGGTACGTCTATACTTAGCCGCTGGTTCGGCGGCAAGCAGTCAATCTTCTGGGATCGATTTATCGCGTCTTGTCTAGACGCGATAAATCGATCCTGGAAGTGCTTGCCGACGCCGGTAATCCTGCTCCGCGAGAGGAGTAGGCGGAGTCGACGGGGGAGCGTGCCTGTCGCGTGTGGACCCGCGGTAAGTACCTTTAAGTTCGAACTAAGATACGCAACTTCAGCTACGTGAATAACGTAGCTGAAGTCAAAGTATCTTAGTTCGAACTGGGGGCTTAGTGTGGACCAGCCCTTAGATATGTGTGACTATGCAGCAGGTATGCAACTCGGAATAAATCAGTGTCCTGGGAATTGTAATTAAGTATCTGCTATTCTACCATCTGTGTATACTTACTGGCTGAAACATCTCTATTTAAATAATTTCAAAATCTTACTTTTAAAATTAAATTATAGAAATTCACAGTTCTGCACAGCCCAACCTCCATACCTATACCTACTTTTTTTCCCACACACTGAAAACAAATAGAAATTTCAAGACCACTTTATCTCTCTATCACATAGCTTACTTTTAATCTTAATGTATTAACATTTTTGTGCTCACTGATGAAGTGAACCTGTCTAATGGATAGATAATGTGGTCTTATTGTTTCCAGTTGTCCTCAGGATAGAATATGGGGGTAGAGTTAAGATTGAAAGGGGTATTTTCAGTGTGCATTTTCATGGTTCTGAATATACACCTTTACCCCGATATAATGCGACCCGATACAACACGAATTCGAATATAACGCGGTAAAGCAGCGCTCCGGGGGGGTGGGGCTGCGCACTCCGACGGATCAAAGCAAGTTCGATATAATACGGTTTCACCGATAACGCGGTAAGATTTATTTTGGCTCCCGAGGACAGTGTTATATCGGAATAGAGGTGTATATATATTTCTGGGTTTCTTATATTTGTACTTTTTCTCAAAAACATAATCCCCCATACCCTAAAAGTACAATGTTCTCAAGATTTTTTTTTTTTTTTTCTGTTCTTGTTTTTTGGATTTGGGCTGAAGTAAGTGATTTCAGGTTAACCATTATTATGGCCTGAAATAGGACACTGTTTAAGACAGTTGTACATTTGGTTAGATCTGATACCTCTAAACAGCACTCTCTCATTAATAGGAGGGTTTCTGTGTGAAGTCCATACAATGAAGTGATCTAACTAGGGTGTGTTATGATGCTAAGATCATGATTAAGGCTGCGAGTCTGTCACGGAAGTCACAGATTCCACGTGATGTCTGCAGCGGCTGGTGCGGCTGGTCTGGGGGCCGCCTGAGCAGCTTGGGCAGCCCCTGGGCCAGCCACACTGGCCACTGCTGGGGCAGTCTCGGGCCACTGTGCCCCTCCCCCCCCAGCAGCAGCAGGAGTTTGGGTGTGGGAGATGACTCAGGGCTGAGGCAGGGGGTTGGGGTGCGGGAGGAAGTGAAGGCTCTGGGCGGTGCTTACCTCAGTGGGGGGCTTCCAGGAAGCGTCCAGCATGTCCCTGCAGCCCCTAGGTGGAGGCACATCCAGGCAGCTCCACGCGCTGCCTCCAGCTGCAGGCTCTGCCCCCACAGCAACTACTGCCGTCCCCCTCTTTTCCCCACCCCCCAGCACCAATGGAGGCCTCGGGCCGTACCCCTCCCCCCCAAGCATCTGCAGTGCCCCTGGCCATGCCCCTGCCCCCCCCCCGAGCACCCAAGTTTTAGTCAGGGGTATATAGTGCAAGTCATGGACAGGTCACAGGCCGTGAATTTTTGTTTACAGCCTGTGACCTGTCCATTACTTTTATTAAAAATCCCCGTGACTAAAATGTAGCCATAATCATGATTCCCGATTAATAGGACTAGCCTCTTAAATTATACTAACCTAATTTCCCCAATGTAGCTGGCATAAGGTCTGTTTATTATGTACATTACATCTAGATTCAGATCCCCACACCCTGTTGGAATGCTCAGGCATCTGTGTAGGTATTTTTGTGATATCCTTTCTTCTAACAATATCCTGTACCTTGCTTTGAGAGCTTCTGCGAGGAAGTACCACCCGTGATGTTTTGGTAACCACATACTGCAGACTCATTAGTTATTGTTTTTCCCACCAGAACAAAATTGAACTATAATCCTCCAAAGGATGATGGATCTACGTATAAGATTGAACTTGAAGGGATATCTGTTGAAATCATGAGAGAGATACTGGATTACATCTTCAGTGGGCAGGTATGGTGCTTAACAGAATTATTGCATCTTTCACTGTCTAATTCGGCAGCACCAGTTAGAGATAAATCCCTGCTTTTTGTCTTATCCTGTCATCCAAAAAAGGCAGCACTAGTGAACTTTGTGCTTTAAGTCTTTGCTATGAAATGACTTCCATACGCCAGAATGCAAGCTACTGGTATGAACCAAAAATAGATTGTAAGCACAGACGTGCTTCTCTTGCTCTGCTTAATGTCATGTATCCCAAGAAACAAACTTTAAACAATGAATGTTAAACTTAAAAAAAAAAAAACCCCAAAGAAAAACCTTACTAGTTTCTTCACTGAGTTGGTTTTAAAGCATGTGTGATTTGGTACTTGTGAAAGGTGTCTGGATTGGCAACCTGGGAGACTGAAGACCTTCACAGAACATTTTCTATCTGGGCAGTCCAAGCTTCCCACCTCATTGCTTCGCCGGTCCATCAACTCCAGCCATTTAAGGCTGACAAAGTTTTTTTTTTTTTCTCTCCACACCCGTTCCGTCCTCCCTAGTCCCTACTAAGACTCCCAGCAAAACACACATTAAAATCCGCCTTTGGTTTGTCCATCAGGAACCAGACTGACATTGCCGAATTAATTTCAAACAGGTCTCCAAACAGGCATCAGGTGGCATTGGCTCTTGGTTAGCTGAAACCATGTTTAAGAAAATAGTTTAATCATCAAGGCCACAATAAAGAAGAAAAAAGTGCAGTTGGGGCTATAATGTCTCTTTTCTGCGTGTGCTGATTTGTCTTATCAGCAAAATATAGTTCATTTTCCTGGATGAGTTTAACAATTTCATGGTTCCTTCAGACAAAACACCCCTTCAGATGCTCTCTACCCAGCTTGCACCCTCCCTCTCCCCAGTTAAGTTGCCCACCAGCAGTGGCTTTATCCTTCTGCATGGTAGTTTGGAATCATCTTCTACACCTATGTTATATTCCATTATTCAGCCACTAAGGGCAAGTCTGCACTGAAGCGCTACATTGGCGCAGCTGCAGCGCATCTGGTGAAGACATGCTATGCCGACGGGAGAGCACTCTTCCATTGGCATAATTACTGCACCTCCGTAAGGTATGGACAGCGCTTAGGTGGATGTAAGTTACGTCGCTTAGAGGGCTGTCTTTTTCACACCCTGAGCGACGTAAGTTACATCAATGAAAGTGATCCTGTAGACCAGCCCTAAGAATCAGTTATAAAGTTATATCAGTTTGTGAATTGTAGTTGTAACTTTTTACAATAAACTCTTGCAGATCAGGCTAAATGAAGACACTATCCAAGATGTTCTGCAGGCAGCTGATCTCCTGCTTCTTACAGATCTTAAAACTCTCTGCTGTGAGTTTTTAGAAGGTTGTATAGCTGCTGAGAACTGTATTGGTATTCGGGACTTTGCACTGCACTATTGTTTGCGTCACGTTTATTACCTTGCCTCGGAGTATCTGGAAACTCACTTCCGAGATGTCAGCAGCACAGAGGAGTTCCTGGAACTGAGTCCCCAAAAACTGAAAGAAGTGCTATCCCTGGAAAAGCTGAATGTTGGAAATGAAAGATATGTATTTGAAGCAGTAATTAGATGGATCTCCCATGATTCAGAATTAAGAAAGGTTAGAGTGCATTAAATTACGTAGTTTGTTTAGTAAATTGGGCTCACATTCTGTGCTTGCTTAAAATTACCTGATGGAAATACAGTGCAGATAAATTCTCTTTTTCCTGTATTCTTGCATTTCTAGGATTTAGATATTACACTGTACATAGAGATGGAAAATAGATTGGGGCTGTTGAGCTGAAGTGTTGCTTATACTGTAGCTGCATCCTTCCCTTGTTGCAGATAAAAACACTGAATGAAGTAATACAGTTGTTAGTCTTTGTGTGTTTTGATGTATGAGCTCATTGCTGGGTGAGGGGAAGTAACCATTGTTTGCCACTAGACATAGAGACTTAAACTGTGCTTTCTAAAATAGTTTTATTTAGAAATTAAGTTGTTTTATCCATAAAATATTTTCCAGTATTTTCTGTACATAAAATAAATACATCACATAAGAATTCCCTTGGAGCTATATTCTAAAGTATGGTGAACAAAATTCTGTTTTTTAAACTGTTTTGGAAATTTTGAATGTTTCTGGTTCTCTAGGTTCACCTGAAGGATGTCATGTCAGCAGTGTGGGTTTCAGGATTAGATTCAACTTATTTGCGTGAGCAAATGATGAGCGAACCACTGGTGCGGGAGATTGTCAAAGAATGTAACAACATTCCACTCACTCCACCACAGCAGGGGGAGGCAATGTTAGCTTCTTTCAAACCCAGAGGTTATTCCGAGTGTATAGTGACTGTTGGTGGTGAAGAAAGAGTGTAAGTATTCAGTATGTTACCGACAGAAATGACTTGTACTATTTAAGCAATTAGTGAGCAGATGGTAACTTTCATAAAAATTATATCATATTGCCTCTATATAAATCCATGGTACATGCAGATCTTGAATACTGCATGCAGATGTGGTCGCCACATCTCAAAAAAGATATATTGGAATTGGAAAAGGTTCAGAAAAGGGCAACAAAAATGATTAGGAGTATGGAACGGCTTCCATATGAAGAGAGATTAATAAGACTGGGACTTTTCAGCTTGGAAAAGAGATGACTAAGTGGGGATATGATAGAGGTCTATAAAATCATGACTGGTATGGAGAAAGTAAATAAGGAAGTGTTATTTACTCCTTTTCATAACTCACCAACTAGGGGTCACCAAAATGAAATTAATAGGCAGCAGATTTAAAACAAACAAAAGGAAGTATTATTCACACAATACCCAGTCAGTCGGTGGAACTCCTTGCCAGAGGATGTTGTGAAGGCCAAGACTATTAACAGGGTTCAAAAAAGAACTAGATAAGTTCATGGAGGATAGGTCCATCAATGGCTATTAGCCAGAATGGGCAGGGATGGTGTCCCTAGCCTCTGTTTGCCAGAAGCTGGGAATGAGCGACAGGGGATGGATCACTTGATGATTACCTGTTCTGTTCATTCCCTCTGGGGCACCTGGCATTGGCCACTGTCGGAAGACAGGATACCGGGCTAGATGGACCTTTGCTGTGACCCAGTATGGCCAGTCTTATTATTGATAAAGAAGTGAAGTTAATATTAACCCATTTAGTGTTGAATTAATTGGGCACATTTACAAAACTTGTTTTTAGCATGGTTAGATGTGCCTAGAACACCCTTATGTTTGATCCATTTTAGAATGTCAAATATCTTCAGTGAACGAGTTACTTAAACTTCTGAAAATCCATCTTTAACAAGTATTAAAATACAAATAAATATGTTTATCATAGCGCTTTACATGTTCGAGACACCATCCAAACAAAAACTACTCTAATCACATTTAATCATACATCCATTGATTGGCTGAGTGAGGTTTGTGAGAGTCCTTACAATAGCAGTGTAGTTCCATAGCAAACTTCTGATTAAAACATCCTCAGTGTTGATAGTTAGTGAGGTAGAAAGCCGAAGACACAACTTTTGTGGTACCATATGCTGGTGCCAGAAAAATTTTGTTCAGACTTGTAAACTGAGCAGGTTTGATGTGAAAGTCCTGATTAAGAATAAATATGGAACACCAAAAGCAACACTTATTTTACAGGGTTTTTTCCCAGATCAGTGTTACATTTTAATAAAATATCAAATCTCTGCTTTAGCATCAGGACCTACCTGCAGTGCCAAAGTAGATTCTCTGTTTGTTACATTGAGATTTAAGGTGACAGTGCCCATTCTCCTTTCCTTTTTTCAAGTATTTTGTGGGGTTGGGAGGAGGGAATTGTTCTTTGCTGACCCAGCTCAGACCTTTGCTCACTATTGATAAAAACTCAGTAGCACATCCTGTTCAGTTACATTTAAAACTCATTCTACTGGGAGAAGAAATACTAATGTTCTATGATAGTCTAATCTGCTTTTTATATAAAATTCCTCACTGGCTAGGGCCATAGCTAATTTCCTTGCATCACATATTCTCTCCACCTCCCTCCCTCTTGCCTGTACATTTACAAACTTAGATTGTACGCTCTTTTGTGCTGGGACCGTGTCTTTGTGGCATTTTCCAGATGCACATGTTTATGAATCTATACTTAAAATACTTGATTAATCAAGCAATTTTAGTGACCCTGTGTTGTAAGTATTCATATATATATATATATATATAGAGAGAGAGAGAGAGAGAGAGAGAGAGAGAGAGAGAGAGAGAGAGA